GTGTAGATGTTAATATATATATATATATATATATATATGTATCAATTGTCATACAAGTGCGCGCACACACTTGTACAACGGCATACTAGCAATCGTGCATAGAGACATGTCTCCATCGCGCAAGCATACCCCAATTTGGCCTTAGTAACAGCCTTCAAACCTTGGCTTCCTTGTGGCAGGTAACTATCTCGCTTCACCCATCTGAGGGCAAATCCAGTGCAGAGGATGAAACACACAAGCACGTGAGAAGAGGAATGGATGTGATTACATGTCCGTTAGAAGTATCAGTTGCGGGGTACACATACAAGTGAGAGAGACTTATTCCAATATACACATACAAGCCACGGGTAGCTGCTTCGAATGATATCAAATACGGTATGTTAAACTATGAACGTCTGAGTGACTTGGGGTATAATCAGAACCGTATATGCACGGCTTGCGTTGCACCAGTACTCTAAAAAGTGGACATGCGCAGGTGCAAGCTATTGCAATTAACATGCACACAAGCGCGTGCACTCGCCGGGTAAGCGGCACTGACGTTCTGGGAGAAGGTGCGTTTGAGTCATTGAGACGCACGAGTGCACTGGGGAGGACGTAGATACAGATACAACACCGACGCATTTCAAAGACAATGGCGTTAACGTTAACTTGATACAGATACAACACCGACGCATTTCAAAGACAAGGTCGTTAACGTTAACGTTGACTGCTGCTGTGGTGTGGCGAGAAATGACTGACAATTGTGGGCCCTACCATAGACGCGCCTAGAGCACCGTACTTGCCCAGTTGCCGAGCCTCGTAGGACACAGAAGTATGCATTCCCTACACAGACACTAGTAACATATCCTCAACACTCCACCCACCCACCGTACTACACACCCGTGTGGGGTAGAAGTAAAACAGGTGCAGAAGCATGCATTCCGTACACAGACACTAGTAACATATCCTCAACACTCCACCCACCCACCGTACTGAACACCCGTGTGGGGTAGAAGTAAAACAGGTGCAGAAGCATGCATTCCCTACACAGACACGAGTAACATATCCTCAACACTCCACCCACCCACCATACTGAACACCCGTGTGGGGTAGAAGTACCACAGGCGCAGAGATAGGTGCAGAGTGGTACCTCCTATCTCCAGCCCACCCGCACGCACCTACAAGCTCTGCGAGAGACTGCTCCCACACACACACCTGAAGGCGTCCATGTGGATGGCGTGACGCGACTTGTACTCGTCGGCGTTGTCTTTCCCAAAGCCGATCTGCTCTGTCATGTTCATACCGTAGTAGGCAGCCCTGCGAGAGACCCAACGTTCAATTGGAACGAGCACGTGAGAAGGTGTGCGCTGCTACTGGACTGAACGTGTGTGTGATATATCGAGTGGCTGCGTGTCTGCATGGGCTAGTACGGCTGAAGTAGCACAGTACATCCAGGGTAAGCATCACGCATACAAAACATCATCACAAATAAAAATAATCTGCGTAGTTTCGATTCATAATCCCAGATTTGAATGTCCATTTGGCCGTAAAAACCTTATTTCATTCATGCACACACACACATACATATATATCTGGTCAATGGAAGCCTCATCATATTCGTGATTATTAATTTGTACGCACACACACATATATATATATATATATATATATATCCATGAAAGTCATTGCATTCATGATTATTAATATAAATACACTCACACACACACCTCTTGTCAATAAACGGCCAATCAAAGAAGTCTCCGTTGAAGGTGACAAGGATGGTAGGCTGCACTTCGATGATATGATCAAAAAACCGTTGCAGCAAGGCCCGTTCGTCTGGCTCGTTCCATACAATGAAAGGTCCTTCGTAGTCGGGTTTGGGTGTGTATTCGAAATCCTCGATGTCGGCTGATACCACATCCCGGTTGATGATAAGATAGCCCTGCGTGTGCGGAGATATTCGAAGACATTGGCATGAACATATGAATATATATATATATATATATATGAATATATGTAGCTGAACGAGGCATTGGCCAATTCATATGAATGTATGTAGCTGAACGAGGCACACAGCTGCATACATTGTATACGGATTGAGGTGGCGGCGTATGCGTGGAAGTGGTCGTGAAGGGGTATGCACTTCTCAACAACCAGACTTAACGGTAACAAACAAGACTTAACGGTGTTTACAATCTATGGCCACGCACTGATGTACTACTGAGGACAAGGACCCGAGAGTACCATCAAGCACGCAGCTGGCAGGCACACCCACTTCTAGCAGACAACCAGAGCTACAAGTAACTGTCTGATAGGTGTGGCAAAAGTAGACTATACAGCCTACACTACTTTTCTATGAAACCCCCCATGTGTGTATTAAAGCCCACTTCTCTATTACAACCCATTATTTTATGAAACCCCCCATTTATCTAATAAAACCTACTTTTCTATTAAAGTCCATTTTTCTACTATATCCCACTTGTCTATTTGGAAAACCTCCTTATCGCTCACGCACACCCACACCGAATACCCCTCCCACACCCCGTTATTGCCACACCAACATTGTGTTTGTATTTTTGCACTACACGGCCACCGCCATTGCCCACTCCACCGCCCCAGGACCCACCTGATTGTCCAGCATATACGAAATCATCATCACCATGTCTCCATTGTCCGCGTCCGGAAACTTCAGATCCTGCTTGGTACACTCGATGTCAAAGGCCATAATGACTGGGTCGGGTCGCTCCTCCAAGTCTTCACGGTGTGTGAGTGTGGTAGATAGACCACGCACCTGCACATCGTACCACAGCCCACAAGTGATAGCTGCACGCGCGAGTGGGTGTGGGCAGTGAGTGGGGATGAGGTTGGAGTGTGAGGTATACATACATCAGAGTACACACAACCGATTGTACTACATCCTCATATAGACTCTGTCCCACAAATCTGTGAAGTAAACATTATTTGCCATGACATACAGCTGGCGATGGCTGTGCACATACGATCCGTTACGTCGCACCGTACTATGCAACACAATACGCGCACGCAGACACCACATCCTTGCGCAAAGACATACACGCGTACACTAAGTACACAACGTGTTATACACGCTAACAGGCACTGCTTCTTACACACACACAAAGCACACACAAGCCGCGATTATATTGCACTGTACAATATATACACTTCTGTGAAAAAACCAAAATAATTTCGATATGACATACAGTTGTCGATGGCTGTTCGAATGTGGTACGGAACATCGTACTCGCGAATGTCCAACACATGCTCAAGCACTTCGTCGTTATTCATCTTATTACTGGTGTTGGTGCTATATATGCGTGTCAGAATGGTCAAAAAAAAATGGCGACTTGTCTTTAAGTACACGCGAAGGTCTTTGACGACCAGCTAGGTGCCCTGTACGGTTGCTTCTAATGTAAGGCGTTTATACTCGTGACACGCACATACAAGGGAACTAGCATATATCCCAGCATTTAGTATCATCGGTGCTATCTGAGTGTGCGTTGAAGAAACTATATTTACATACAGCAGTGTCCATTTTTACACATACTATTGCGTTGAAAAAACTTTAAATGTACCAGTGTTATTATGTACGCATACTATTGCGCGCACCCCAGAGTGTGTCACGGTATTGATCGCTCACGACTCTCAGCGAACAAATCCTAAACCCTAAACACTCGAAACCCTAAAACTTAGAAGCTACCACTAGAAAATATACCACCAGAATATTGTAAATTGAAACGCGAGTTGAAGAATCTATGAAACTTGGCACCATACTTTTCAGGTTTGTAGACCTCGTAGATCGCTTTAGTTTTGGCCTCGTCCTGATTCCGCTTAATGGCCGGCATGAGAACTTTTCGGACCTGCAACAATAAAAAGAAACGTTTAACACACTCTGTATTGAGATACTTGAGCCTAGCTTGGATCACCTACAGTCATTGTCGGACAATCAACGTCAATGTTGGACATCCGGGTTCATTTATAGGCCATTCATATTTATAGGATAATACGTATGGGCGCTAACATCACTAGACGTTCACACCTCAATATTGAGGTAGTGAGGGGAATTGCGTTTGTCTATGCGTATGTGTGTGTATGTATGTGTGTGCAAGTGTACAAGCGTTTATGGGTGTGTACATGTGTCTGAATATAGATACCGATGCATGCGTATGTGTGTGGAGATATATACAAAGTAAAAAATCGAAGATGCCACACCGGTGAACTTACCCTCATGAGATCGTTTGTATTCGGAAATTCGATCTTCACCAAGGTTCGCTTGAGCCCAATCAAGTGGTTTTTCTGTAGCGAAATGAATAGGAAAGAGGTACAATGTGTAGGAGAGAGGTATAATGTATAGGAAAGAAGTATAATGTATAGGAGATAGGTATAATGTATAGGAAAGAAGTATAATGTATAGGAGATAGGTATAATGTATAGGAAAGAAGTATATTGTATAGGAGATAGGTATAATGTATAGGAAAGAAGTATAATGTATAGGAGATAGGTATAATGTATAGGAAAGAAGTATAATGTATAGGAGATAGGTATAATGTATAGGAAAGAGGTATATCCGTTTATGGTGACAATGTGCGTTGGCACAAAAAAAAACGCAAAATTATACGAAAACATACAACATCCATGTAGTCTGTCTTGGATTTTAGTTAAAATTGCTATAGTCGAGCTTCGCAGAGCATCAAACTCCATGCAGCCTCACTTGCTCGATACCAAAAAAAACCACATTTTTACGCTCGATTAAAAAAACCCTCATTGTTTCGCTGGAAACTACTACGCTTTGAACTCCCATACCAGGTCTAGATCCTCTTTCTCAATCACGCTGACTGCGGAGACCTCACTTTTGAACTTGTTCTTCACCCACTGGTCGAACACACCCTCCATCCCCTCCGTCACGGCGATGTAGAAGTAAGGCTCATACTTCATGGTGGCCTTGAAGTGCGATCCATTCTGCAGGAGTATACGTGTACGTTTACATGTGTATATAGGTTGAGTGTGTGGGCACAGACCAGGCTCGCCTGCTACTCGTGACAAACGTTGACGCGGCATAAATTATTTAACGACCGAATAAACTTCTCGGAAAACCTATATACCCAGTGATAAACTTACTCTACCTCTCTTAAGAAGTACATGTCCATACCGCATAAACTTCTCCGAAAACCTATATACCCAGTGATAAACACACCCTACCTCTCTTAAGAAGTACATGTCCAGTGCGCTGAATGCCCGTTTATTGGATCCCTCGGTGAAGATGGTAGTCTGGTTGAAATTGGAAAAACCAAAGAAGATGAATAAATATATATCTATATATATATATATAATTATATATAATTATATATATATATATTGAGAACAGAGGAGCTATAAACCAAACTAGTAGAGCAACCAAGGAAACAGACAGGGGGTACATTTGAATTATTGGATACTCCAATCAGAACGAAGTATATTACACAAATCGAGTATATATATATATTT